GTTGGCCTCGGGGCCTCCCGCGGGCTCTCCGCGTGCCCCGCCGGCATCTGGCGCTGCGTCCCGCGGTCCGTCCTCCCCGCTCAGGGCGCGGGCTCCTCGGGCAGGCCCGCCGGCTCCCGCGCCGGGACAGCCGGCCCGAACTCCGCGCTGCGGCCGCCGCCCCCGCGCCCCCCACCGCGTCGGGCTCCCTCCCGCGCGCCCGGATGCAGCCTCGGGGCGGCGGGGGGGGGCCCTCGCCGAGCAGGGCGGCGCCTCCAACGCACCTTCCATACCTCTCCATTGTTTGTGAACCGTTTTCCTTTGGGGGGTGGGAGGGTTGCGGTATGTCCAAGAGTGGTTATAGTTTTGTTTTTAACATGTTGGGTGACTTCATATATACGTGCCGGTCATTTAAACGTCCCGGTCAATCCCAAATACAAGACTTTTCCTGGGGCGGAGGCTGGCATTGGAAAGAAAAGCAAAGAGGACGCGGGGAGAGTATGGCTAGAGACCGAGCGGAATGACTCGTGGGTCTCGCCCGCCGAGCACTGTCCAGACCTCTAAGGGGTGCAGACCCTGAGATCTCTCTCCTCCCCTTCCCTTGGAGCTTCTCCAAAGTTATCTGGAAAATAATAGCGGGGGGAAGGTCAATCATAGAAAGTTCTCCGGTGAGCGAGCGCAAACCCAAGTGCATGGCCAGTTGGCGGTGACCTCAGTCAGTAGCCCGCAATCCCGCTTGCGCCAGCGCTTATTAACTGATCAACCAGAAAGAAGAAAAGAGACACAATCATTCAAAATTTCAAGACCAGGGGCGCCTGGCTGGCTCAGTCGATGGAACCCTGGACGGTCGATCTCAGGGGTTGTGAGTTCCAACCCCGCCTTGGGTGTAGAGCTTATTTTAAAATAAAATCAATAAAAATTAAAAAATTAAAAATAATTTTAAAATAATCACCTTTAAAAAAATTTAAGACAAGTAAAATCGGAGAGTGTGTGGCGAGGCACGCAGGCCTCCATCCATGGTGCCTTCCCGGGGCCTTGCCAAAGGTGGGGGCTTTACCACCGTGCACACAGTGGAGCGGAAGGAGGAATCCTCACGCCCCCCCACACACACACACACCCCGCCAGACCAAATTATTCACAAGGTTTCCACAAACCAGGTTATTACGAAAGCCCCGCCAAATCGCACTTAAATTCCGCTGAGGGTAAACGAGACCCACGAAGATTTCCGTTTTTGAGACCGTGGGTGGGATGGAGCGCGAAGGGCGCGGATAATCCCGCCCTGGCCGCCCAGGGCCGAGGACTGGGGTCCAGTGGAATCTCGATTCCCCTGAGCAGGTCCATACAGGTGCTGCGTGGAGTCTGCTCCGGGTTAGACCCCAGCGCCGGGCTAGCGTCGCAGAAGCCCAAGGCGTACGGAGCCCAGGGACTGTGCCGAGAGCCCTGCATACCCACCATGTGTTTGGAGTGTTGAATATGAACCGCCTGGGAGAGGCACTGGTTCGGATTGAGTTTCCCGCTTCAGGGGAGAGTCCCTCAAGTAAGGCATACATCCCACCGCCGAGGGTATTTATTCTGCGCAAAGGAAGGTTACCGGATCGGGTGGGATTGCGTTTTCCCGGCGACCCACAAAGAGCCTGCAAACCGCCGTGAAGGGCGCAGATCTATCAGGTCATCGCCGACCCGTGGCTGGTTCTAGAGACCTCGGTGGCGCGGTGTCCCTCACTCTGGACCCTGCTGTGGTTTCCCTTGGCCTCACTCCAATGCGGGCGTTCTCCAGGCGGGCCCCTTTTGCTAAGCGAGAGGACCTGCTTGAGAAGGAGCTAGGAGGGCCACTTCTGGTTTTTGTGACAAGCCAGAGGCTCAGGTATTGGTAGTGGCAGGAGAGAGTCCGTTTGTTTTGCCTGCCTGCCTTCCTCCTCCCCCTTCTTCTTAGTTTTATTATGTTTTGGGCTTTCTGTTTTTGCAATTCATTCTAAAGCAAATGACAAAGCCTTGGATGTGCTGAATGCAGCTCCCTCACATTATCCTTTCTGGATAAAATGCATCTCAGAGATGGACAATGGCCAACCCAGGCTATCACAGCCATTGAGTTTGTGAGCTGGGATGGAAACCCAGGCCTCAGGCTTCTTGGGCCAGCCCTCCTCCCCCTCCCCTCTTCTCAAACACACCCTTCTCACATACAGCCCTCCCTAGCCCCCATCCCGGCCCTTCCACCTTTCCTGTCTCCCCCCAGGCCCATGGCTGGTGGCTGGTGGGCTGTGATACAGCTTGGAGGGACCTGTCCTTGAAGAGTCTGCTCTGAGGAGACAAAAGGGTTTCTCAACCAAGTGCCCCAGCCCTACACCCTCCGGCATGTGGAAGAAAGGAGCCCTGAAGAAGGAGGTGATGATGGAAGGACATGTTTCCTCATTTGTAAACTGAGGGTCATAATAGTACCTACTCCATGGGCTTTTTGTGAAGATACACAGGACTTGAATGTTGTGTTTTATAAATTCCAAAGGGCTGTAGTGTGTGTCCTACCACTGCATAGGAATGAGGATCCTGCATGAGTTCAGTGAAGCCCCCTGGGAGTTTAGGAGAGGCTCTCATTATGGGTCTCCTGGCTTTGGAGGATGCCCAAAGTCAACTGCTACAGAGGCCTGCCAGAAAACCCACCCTTGCCTTTTTTTTTTTTGCTAGGTCCAGCACAGAAGGGACTCTGGGTACATGACCAAGGGACAAAGTGTCCTTCTACTCATTCTTTCGGTTCCACCTCAAAAGTACCTCCTTTGTGGGGCACAGTTGGTTAAGCGTCTGCCTTCGGCTGGGGTCACGATCCTGGGTCCTGGGATAGTGTCAGGCACCCCGCTCAGCAGGGAGTCTGCTTCTCCCTCTCCCTCTGCCCCTCCTCCTGCTCGTGCTCTCTCTCTCTCAAATAAATAAATAAATCTTTTAAAAAAAGTACTTCCTTTGTGTAACCTCCCCTGACAGCCAACTCCACCCCAGAGAGCATTCTCTTCCTTTGTTGCGCCCTGAGATGCCATCCTTGGAACCCACCACACCACTGTTGTGTGGCTACCTCCTTCCAGAAGAAAGTGATGGTGGTAGATAGAAAGATTTGGAAGGACATATCCTTGTATGTTCATAGCCCCATCTCTAAGCTGGCATGGTAAGCGGCAGGGCTGGAGTTGGGTAAAAAAGGGGGAAAGTGGACCCATGTGAAAGTAGCATTTCTCAACTGAGCAAACCCTGCATACCCTGTTGGATGAGAGGGACTAGGTTCTCCAGCCACCCAAAGGAGGAGTCCTCCTTTCTCCTGAAGCGCCAAGGCTTCAGGGTCGAGAGCTCAGAGCCAAGTGCTTTCTTGGAAAAACTCATCTTTATCCATTCCAGAGGAGAGTCCAGTTTGAAGCCAACTTGCTCATCTTCTCCTCAGGACACTGACTGGGGGGGCTCAACCACCCCTGCACCCTCCCCCCTTAATCTTTCTGTCTCTCTGAGCCTGGCCATCCTCCAGTGCCTTCTCTTCCTCTTCTGAGCCTCCCTCTTTGTCTGACCCTGGTCTTCTCCTACCCTCCAATTCTTTTTTTTTTTTTTTCTTTAAAGACTCTATTTATTTGACAGAGAGACACAGTGAGAGAGGGAACACAATCAGGGGGAGTGGGAGAGGGAGAAGCAGGCTCCCCACTGAGCAGGGAGCCCAATCCCAGGACCCTGGGATCATGACCCAAGCCGAAGTCAGTCACTTAACCAACTGAGCCACCCAGGCGCCCCAATCCTACCCTCCACTTCTAAGACTGCTGCCTCCACTCTGAGCCCTGATAGTGGGAGCAAATATGTGTATGCAAACATGAATATGCCAGTCCGAGTTGCATACTCAAGGGAGGGGCGCCTGGGTGGCTCAGTCGTTAAGCGTCTGCCTTCGGCTCAGGTCATGATCCCAGGGTCCTGGGATCATGCCCCACATCGGGCTCCCTGCTCTGCGGGAGGCCTGCTTCTCCCTCTCCCACTCCCCCCTGCTTGTGTTCCCTCTCTCGCTGTGTCTCTCTCTGTCAAATAAATAAAATAAAAAAATAAAAATAAATTGCATACTCAAGGGAGAAAAGGTGTATAGGTGGGTATGCTGGGGAATCTGTGGGGACTGGTGGGTTTGGGGATGTGACTGTCTCTCCCACTAACATGAAACAACTTAGATGTGTGTGGACAGTTATCACTCAGAGGTTGGATACACTTGCCTAAATGCTTATATGCTTGGATTTCCTTCATTTTTGAGTGTGTACAATGGCAGTTTGACTTGTTATAGTTGCGGGTCTGTGTAAGAGACAAGTATCGTGCTTTTTTCAGGGATAGCGCTATTTATCTTTGGGCATATAGATGTACTTTACATCATAGCCTACACTCCGTATTTGCAGATCCATTAATGGATCTCTCAGTTCATGGAGGGATGCTAATGTGAACATCAGCGTAGACACCTGCGTTTGTATCTCTGTTGTATCTGAATGGAGCCTGCGTGTAGTTGTCTACCTGTGGCCATAGATAACTCGTATACGTGGACACCTGCCTGTCAAGGTCTCGGGTACCGAAGTTCAGAGGCAGGTCCTGCACAGACTGGAAAACGCGGCCACCAAGACAGGCCCGCCGTGTTTCCTGCGCCCTCGCGAGAGTCATCGAACAGGACTCGCCTCCTACTCGGCGGGTTTTGTCCCGGTTCGTGCAAGACTTCAGCCTCCCAGGGCGCCCGGAAAGGCGGGCTGCCGCACGGGCAGAGCCAGGACGGCGGATCCCTCCAGGGGCCTCGGGGGCCGGCGGGAGCCTCGGTGTCGCCCGCGCACCTGGGCCCCTGCCGGAAGCGGAAGCCGGGACGGGGGTGGGGGTGCGGTGAGGCGCGGTGGCGGCGGTGGCGGCGTGTCAGGCCCAGGGCGCCCCGCGGGGGCGTGTGTGCCGCTCGCGTGCGGGACAGGCTGGCCGTGGGGCGGCACCTCCCCCGACCCGGCGTCTGTTTACCAACAAACTGCCGGCGCTTGGCAGCGGCGCATTCCGACGAGCTGAATAAGCTGCCGGCGCTGGCGGTCTGGTCTCGAATCCCCTGCGGGTCGGTGGCGGCGGGATCAGAACGGCGGTGCGGATCCCCGAGAGCTGGAGAACGCGACAGGCGGTGCCCGGAGCCTCCGCAGCCGCCGCGCCTCCGCCTCGGCCCCGCTCCCTTCGCCCTGGGCCGTCCCGGCCCCGCCAGCTCCCTCGCGTTTCTGCCACTGAGACCGCGGTTCCCAGACTGCCCGATCGCCACGACACCCCAGCAGCCCTCTCGGAGAAGCCCCCGAGGTGGCTGGGCCTGGAGCGCGCGCACCGCCCCTCTGCTCTCGCGGCTCTGAAGTTCCCTGCGGCGGGCTGCCCCGGGGGGCGGGCGCCGGCTCCAGCCTCCGTGAGGTCACCGCGTGCAGCAGCCAATCCGCGGCGTCTAAGTGGGCGGTGCCCCCGTCGGGTCCCGGGAACCGAACCCAAGAGCCAGACGAGGGGGGGCCCCCATGGATTTAGGGGGGAGGGGAAAAGCCATGGGGGGTACCCCTTCGGAACCCCTTTCCCAGGCGCGCGCTCTCCGCTGGAAGAGGCGCAGAGAGACACTTTCCGGGGAATCTTAAGTGTGCGGGAAGCTGGCTGGGGGGCTCATCCGGTCCCAACGCCCGAGGCTCGGAAAAAAGAGAGTTGGCGGAGGGAGCGGACTACGTGCCGGGCCATGGCCTAGGCCCTTCGGCCCCGGGCCCGGCCGCAATGACCTCTTTGCCCTACCCCCTCCCTGGCCGGGACGCCTCCAAAGCCATCTTCCCGGACATCGCCCCTGTCCCATCGGTAGTGGCTACCTACCCGCTTGGTCTGTCCCCCGCAACCGCAGTCGCCTCCGATTTGCCCTACTCTGGGCCTTATGGCCACCTCCTGTCCTACTCCTACACTGCGCCGGCGACCCCGGGAGACTCCTACCTGTCCTGCCAGCAACCGGCGGCGCCCTCTCTGCAGGACCCGAAGGCAGGTAAGTCCGGCCACCGCGGCTCTTCCCACCTCTGGGGTCCTGATCCTGTGCGTCCCTAAACTTCGCCCTCGCCTGGTTGGGCGCAGCTAGCGGGATTCAAACCTTACTCAGATTCCACGGGATCTGGGGGTGGGGGGAGGGCGAAGGGATGGGGCGGGAGACTGGGGGGGGGCGGGGGCGAGTTGATCTAGGTCTCCTTTCAAGAACGACCTGGTTTCGATTTGCAGTTGTGTGAAGCCTGGCGGCAGGGCTCCCTACCCAACCCCCTGGAGCAGCGGGGTTGTGTGTACCTACGTGTAACGGAAAACTGAAACAATCCAGATGTGGGTGTGGGTGTGGGTGCCTAGCCCCTGCCCCAGTATTCTTTCCGTCGTGCACTCCTTCCCTTCCCCAAGTCGCCTCTCCCCGTTTGCCTTGTCTCAGAAAGTGGGGCTCAAGCCAAAGCCAGACAAATGGAAGTCAGGTCACAGATGGAGGGCAGTGGAAGTGGGGGCTGATTCGGGGCCCCTCCCCCTCTCCCTTGGCCGGCGCCTGAATGTGCCTGACGGAGACTGGAAGCTGGCCTGGCAGAATCGGGGGCCAGGACCCCGCCACTCCTTGTTCTAAGAAAGTAGCCACAGGTGGGTCCGGCAGTGTCTAGTTGTAGATCCTGGTTCCCTCGGCCTTCCTGCTGAAGGAGCAGGCTGTCTGGAGCATCTCCACCCCTTGCCTTTGTGGGGGATGCGTTAGGTAGGCCCCAGTTCCCGTTGTCTGGAACAACTTGGAGCCCCTGAGAAAGTGCTTACTGGAAGGCCTCAAAGAGGCCAAGGAGCTAGCCTGTCTTCCTGGTCCTGTGCCTGGTACGGGCAGAACGCTTGTAACACACTATACATACCCACCTGTACTAGCTCCAGATTAGAGTTCAGGTCCCCTGCCCTCCCTGCTCCCACCTAATTGCCCCCACAATTGTCTTTAGCTCAGTCTCTTCCAAGGCTGCACATCCACTGGGTGGCTTTGCTGGAGTCGGCCTGGACCAAGACATCTCTCTCCCTTACTCCAACACAGGAGCTCAGAAATCATCCAAGCCAGAAGTGACCCTAAAGACTTGGGAGCTCAACCTCCTTGGTGTACAGATGGGCAAACTGAGGCTTAAAGAAAGGGTGTGTGTGCCTGTTTTCCAGGCACTTGACCCTTGCAAATTGACTTTCACTGCATGAGGCCAGAAAAGAGGATTTTAGGGAATCCCCTCAGAGCCCCCCAAATTAACCTCCTTCTGTGCCAGAACTGGGCTGCCTCTCCCAGGCTGCTGGGTCTGTCCTTGCAGCTCCCAAGCTGCAAACGTGGTCCTTCCATTGTTAGAGGAGGAGCAGTCCGGAGAGGAGGTTTGTGTGTTTGTTTGGTTTGGGTTTTTTTTTTTAATACAAATGATCTAGTTTCTACAAAAGAATCCCTTGGACTCTTCCCTTTAGTACACGGCACATTTGTGTGTATGTGTGTGTAGTGGGGGTGGGAATAAGATAGCCTTGTGCTTCAGAGAATTGTTTATAGGGTTAGTATTTTCCTTCCTGTCCTCCACACTCTTAGCCTTCCCTCTGCTTGGTCTAACGACGAGAGAGTGGAGAGCTCCCTTTCTTTACAGAATTTCCCCCGATCCAACGAAAACCATACACATGCTTAGTCTAGATGGTAGCATTTTTCTCCCGAAACTGGTGGCTTTGCCCATTCTAGATTGAATGATTGGGGTGCAAGAGAGGGCTTGAATCCTCCTTTTGCTCCCACCCCATGTCCACCCCTGCTTCAGGGAGAGGTTTGGCTCCAAGCGAGCTGCACACCACCCCGCGGAGCGGACGGGTGCGGCGCCCGCGCCTCGAGGGAGGCCTTTGGGCTCCATGATCCCGACCGGGGCAGATCCAGTCGCGACTTGCGGCAGCGGGTGTGGGGAAAGGCAGCTGTCGGGGAAGGAACTTGAAGGGGCGCCCCCGGGAGAGCTAGGCGCCGAGGGCTGGGGGAGTTCAGTAGCCCGCGCTGCCTCCCAGGCGCTGCGTCCCCGCCTGAGCCGCGCGCTCCCCGAAGCCAGAGAGGCGCGGGGGGTCGGTCCCTCGGCGGCCGGCCTGGGGCTGCGAGCGGTAGGGTCGAAGCAGGGGAGGCCGGACAGGCGCGGGCGGGAGCGGAAACCCAACGGTTTTTCTGGGAATTGGCCGAGGCGGGGGTCGAGGAGGGTGGATCTGAGAAGCCCGCAGCGCCCGGGGCCACCGGGTAGGGATGCGGGGGAGGTGAAGGCAACCGGTCACCGCGGCCGGCCCAGCTCGGGGAATCACACATCTGCGGGAGCACGGCCGGAGGGAGGAGCGCGGTGAGGGTCCGACACGGGCGGACACCAGCTGCGTCTGGGCACCCGGGCCACGAAGCTCTCTCGGCTGGGACGGCCCGGCAGACCCGCGTGGAAAGCTGCAAACGTGGCCCTAAGCCCGGGGGCATTTCGGCCACTTGGTCCTCCCAGCCCTATCACCCGAATGGAATGGTCCCGGGGTGTCCCCATAGATGGGCGCAGGTTGGGGCTGCTCAGACGGAAAGAAGAGGACCCCTCGCCCCGCACCCCCGGCATTCAAGGGCCACTGTTACCCCGCCGAGGCTCCTAGAGTGGCTGGGCCTGGGGGCAGGAGGTGACCAGACCTCGTGGGGCAGCATGGCAGCGCGATCCTGGAGCGGCCCCGAGCGCCTGCGCTGCCGGGCGCTGCGTGCTTTCCGAAGCCGGGCCACCTTCCCCGCGGGCCGTGAACCCTTCTGTGATTGTGGCGGGGCGCAGGAGGGGGCCGCCTCAATCCCACCGGGCTTCTAGGTCCCCGAAAACCGTCTGCCCCAGCCAGCCGGCCATGGGGGAGGGGAGAGCTGGTCACCTTTCCTGCAGGGTGCGCCCCAGGAGAGGGGCTGTGACTTGCAATAGGGGATGACAAACCCTGGGGGCCCTTTCCATACTCTGATGCTGGGGAGAGGCGGGTGCGCATCCTGGCCTTCAAGGCCCGCTTGGCTGGGCCCCTCTGACCCACCCCTCCTCCGGCAGCGGGGCGGCTGCCACGCAAACACTGTCTGGGGCCTCTGAGCATTGCTCTGGAGTTCCCTCCGCCTGGAATGCCCTGCCCCGGTCCGCTCTAGGCCTCAGCCCAGCCCTCGACCGAGCCTTTCGGCCCCGCCCCACCCCAAAATGGCGCCTCCGCACCCGCCTGAACTCTGACCTCCCGCCCCTGGCGCCACCTGTACCCTCGCTCCGGCCCGTGGCGCTCCCTTCCTTGGGTCACAGGACCCGTAAGAGTGGGAGCTCCCTGAGGGCAAGAACCGTTTCTTGTTCCACCTGGCGCACAGGGGGCGTGGGGTCGGAAGGGGGCGTGGAGCGGAGGTAGACACCTGCGCTATTGGCCCGTCCGAGGCCTGCATGCAAACGAGATGCAAATGGACCCCTGAAGCGGCCGCCCAACCCTCTCACCTTCCCGCACACACCGCCTTGTGTTTGCCCCCCAGACTCGGAGAAGCCGCCGCTGTCCCCGGAGTCCTCGGAGCAGCGCCCGCAGGCCCCGACCAAGAAGCTCCGCAAGCCGAGGACCATCTACTCGAGTCTGCAACTGCAGCACCTGAACCAGCGTTTCCAGCATACACAGTACCTGGCGCTGCCCGAGAGGGCCCAGCTGGCCGCGCAGCTCGGCCTCACCCAGACCCAGGTGAGGCCCGTCCCGTCCTTCCTGCAGCTAGCCTTCCCCAGATGTGTTCTCTGGGAACTCACCGCCTTCCCCAGGGGGGTGCCCCAGGAGTCCCCTAGCCCTGTTGTCGCAGTTCTCCAGGGCGTGTTAAGAGCCGGACCTCAGTTAGGTGTTGGGGGAATGTGTTAAAAGGTGTGTTGGGGTGAGGGAGGCAGATGCAGGTAGAGGACGAGGGCACCCAGACCTGGCAAACTGGATACTAGCTCAGGGGCGGGACCCCCAGCAACTTCAGGGACTCTGGAGGACTGCAGTATGTCCCCAACCTCTGCTCTGCTCCCAGGACTGCACGCACCGCTGTTGAGTCCCAGTCCCTTTCCCTGGCTCACCGCCTCCCACACACATACTCCTCCTCATCTTCCCTTCTTTCCCTTCTTCTCTCCAAAGGTAAAGATCTGGTTTCAGAACAAACGCTCCAAATACAAGAAGCTCCTGAAGCAGAACTCTGGAGTACAGGAAGGGGACTTGCCTGGGAGAGCCCCCTCCTTATCTCCCTGCTCCCCGCCCCTTCCATCCCTCTGGGATCTGCCCAAGGCAGGGGCCCTGCCCACCGGTGGCTATGGCAACAGCTTTGGAGCCTGGTATCAGCATCACTCCCCAGATGTCCTGGCTCCATCTCAGATGATGTGAGTCCCGGGAAGGGTGGGTCAGGCCCCTGTCCTCCACAAAGCCCAGGACCCAGCCCACCTGCACCCCTTCTGGTCCCAGAGGAAACCAGCTCCAGATGGATTTTGTCAAGTGGACAAGAAGTTAGAGGAGAACAAGGAAGAGGTGAAGTCATCTCTCCCTTGCCCTGTAACCCAAACTGCCTGATCAGGACTTTGGTCTTAACCACCGGCCCCACCATGACCGTGGACTGGACCCGTTCCCTCCAGCTGATCAGGGGCTCTGGAGGGAGAGTTATCGGCTGACTTCCCACCCCTTCCCTGGACTGCGGTCTACCACGGCCTGGAGGCAAAACAAAGAAACACTTGAGTATTTTTTCCTCTCTGTGTGCCTTGGGCCTCACCCAACCCTGTTACGAGCAAAAGCAGAAGTGAAGTGGGCATCCTCTGTCTTCACCATGAGGACCATCGGGTCCCCCCTCACCGATTTTCCCTGGTGGTTGGCCCATTATCCCCATGACTGATACACCTCCTCACCATCTTGTGAGTGGAAAAGATGCCGAAAATGTGGAGTTTGTGGACCTGTGGGTAACTCATGCTCTTCTCCTAAAAAAGCCTTCTTCTTCCCATGTCTATTCAGTTATGGTAGATAACACATCCAATTATCCTTGTAATTCAACGGGTATTTATTAAGAGCCTATCCCCTCCTTTCCCACCCTTAGTACCTAATAACTCCACATGCACACCCTCTTGGGAGCCTGTAGGGTAACAGTCTGGGGAGAATGGGAGGGCAGACAGCCTCTGGATGAGTGTAAGTAAAGACACCCCCAAATAGGGAGGGTGGGCTGGCAGTTCAGCTCCTCACAGCTGTCTCTGTCCAAAGGAACTGCTCCTATTTATAATCCACACCAGGAGCTTTTGGAGATTAAATCTGTACAAAAACCTGGGCCCTGGCCGTGAGTCTGTTTGTTTCCTGACTTCTAGGGGTGGGGGTTGGTTGCTCATCTCTCTCTCTCTCTCTCTCGTCTCCCATTAGACACTTCCAGCACTGAGCTAGAGGACAGGATACAAGTTTTGCCTCTACAACTAACTAGCTCCGCGGTTGTAGCTCTGGAATGTTCTAATGACCATTTTCATACACTCCAGTGTAAAACTGGAAGATGCCAATACTGCAAAGGACCAAAGTCTAAGTGGTCACCTGCAAATTCTGTGCTGGCCCAGTTCTGGAGGGAGCCAGGGACAGGAGTCCCCCTGGGGCTCCATCTTCCAGTCCCGCTCACTTGGAAAGACGACATGCCCACTGAGCCAGTCCAGTCCTCCCAGTGTGCTCCTTGGGCTGGAGAGGCCCCAGCCCAGCAAGGGAAGGGGGAGGAGAAGAAAATCCCAGAAGGAGCTGGACTTCTCCTCCATCCAACAAACATGCGTGAAGCCTCTGCTCCGTGTTAGATCCCGGAGACACCGGGTGACTTGGGCACATGGGGGAGCCAGCCGGATGACCAGCCCCTTGTGTGGCAAGGGCCACGATAGAAGAACTAGGAACTAGTTCTAGAACTAGGCCCAGGAACAGGGCTGCGAACTATTCAGGGAATCCAGCCCAGCTTTGGCCCAAGGGATCGGGGGAGGGGCCTTCAATTCCAGGCAAAAACTTCCCGAGTCATCATCCCAGTCACTGCCTAAACCTGTTCCCAAGCACTGCGAACTGGGGGGCTGCCTTAGTTGGAAAAGCCCAAGCAGACACTTCGAGCCAATCCCCCTGGCCCGAGACAGGCCCACATTGGGGTCTCTGTAGAGTAGAAGAGGTACAAAGTCAGTGGAACCCCCACCCCAGGAGGCCTGCCGTCAGCCCCTCCTAGGCCCCTTCTGGGTCAGCGGCCACCCCCACTCGCCACAACACACCTGGAGGGTTATCCTGGGGATGGCAAGGGGCATGGAGTGGGCCAAAGCCAAGATCAGAGCAGTGAGGAGTGATGGTGCCAAGGGCAAAAACACCCCCTCTTCCTCTGGGCCTTCCCCTGCCCCTAGCCCGCAGCTCCATAGGCTCTCAGGGCCCAGCCCCAGGTCCCTCCCCTGGGGCTTCGTGGAGGCCACAGGCCCTCAGGGAGGCTGTTCCTCCCACTGCAGGTTGCACTCCTCTTTCCACAGACCCAAGATAAGATCTACCGCCCCATCTCGGAAAGCCTCCAAAGGCGAGATTAATTGGACAGCCCAACACGAGTCGCATCGTTAAAACAACAGCCCAGGTTGTAAAGTTAAGTAGCAGAAGGAGTATAATTACTCTCCCAGCCAGAGACCAGCTCCCCCCCTTCCCTGCCCCCATCCACCCGACCTTTCCAGGGGAAACCAGAGTCCATTCCACTTGGGAGTTGGTCCAACCTCCCTGGGCTCCTGGGTGAGGGCGGACTTGAAACCCCGGGGTGGGGGGGATGTGCCCCATCACCTCTCTCAAGCCATCTGAGCTGTAGAAGGGGAACCCTGGGGTTCCCCACAAAGATTCCCCTCTGGGAAAATCAGGTCAATAATGGAGCAGGGACAAAATCGAATGGTTAAGAATGGCAGTTTGGGCCTGCAAAGCATCCAGCTCTGCTGTTGTGACTTTTGGCGAGTTACTTAACCTCTCTGTGAGCCTGGTTTTCCTCCCACTCGCCCCCAAGAGGGGAATGCTAATAGGACCTGCTTCACAATGTCGCTGTGATCACGAAGTGGGATAGTGCTTGTAACGTGCTTGACACGGTGCCTGGAACATAGGACTCGCTTCACAAATGGCATTTGGCTGCTGGGTGATTATCGGGGAGAAGGGGTCACGGCCAGGGGGAGTGCATACTGCCACCACCATCCATTCACCTCTCGCCTCTCTGCCTCCCGAGGGTAGGGAGGAGGAATGGGGCTGGAGGCTGGAGACCTATGCGCATTCCTTGTCACCACCATTTGAAAGCAGGGCACAGGAGAGGTCCTAAATGCAGAAGGGCATCTAAAATCAACTGAGACTGGAGAATGGGAAGGAGGCCAGGGCACACTCTCTCACCTACAAGGGTCTCAGCCATGGGGAAAAGCTGACTTGGGGCTTCCCTCCCCTCTCCCCATATGCTATTTTAAGACAGGCCCCCCATTCTCTCCCCCAACAAAATGAGATTCAATTAATTCAATTAAAGCAATTTTGGGAGCAGCTCCTGAAGGTTTTCAATGTGAGATAATTACAAGTAATTTGCTGCTGTGAAGAGGAAAAGGGTGCACGGGGTCTGGGGGGGGGGGGCGGGAGGAGGTAGCCCCTCCCCACCAAATGCACACAGATCTAGAGGGATTCCACACTGCAATCTTAACTGCCCTCCCATTGGCCAAATTACTTGCAGGTGGGAAGTGGGAGAAGGCAGTGGTGGGAGGGGGCTGGGAAGACACGGAGTGACAGACCCACCCTCCCCCATCCCCAAATCTGCTGTGCAAGGTGGCAGTGGGGAGCTGGCTGTCCCCCGGACAAAATGTCTGCTTAGCGCTAGCAGCTGATTACTCAGCTCCAAACCTCATCGGAGTTTGGATGCCTGAACTTGCCTCTGGGATGGGATCCAGAGTCAATGGAATGTTATCCGGGTAGTGGAGGCCTGTGTAGACGGGGTCTTGGAGATGCAGGACTTCCGCAGAAAGTGTAAGGGATGTGGGTAGAGAGGGGAAAGGCCAGAGAGAAGGCTACACTGATTTCTTGCTTCCAAGGAGGTGATGATGCACCCATTCTCCCTCCTCCCCCATTAAGCCTTGCTAGTTCTGCTGGAGTCTCAACTCAATTCTTTCCATTCTTGTGGTGGGGGGGGGGAGGTGGGGGGAGGCGCAAATATCCTCTCAGCTCTCTGTCCTCAGGACCACTGAAGCCTCTTCCTTTAGAAAAGCATCCCACAGGTATTTCCCACCCCCATTCACCTGGATAACCCTTTCCTGGCCAGGACTCCTGTGGCCTCAGAGGGGGTGGGATGGGGGGGACTAGAGGTAAAAGGGAGGAGTGGGGAGCTGAGACAGAGGGGTGAGGGTGGCTTCAGGCCTCCGCAAAGACTCCTCTGAACCCTGCCCACAGCTAGTTTTCAAGGGACTAAGGTCCCCCTTTACCTGGGAGCCCCTCTTCTAGGAGGTGAGTAGTATTTTTGCAGCTATGGTGGAAAAGAAAGATTCTCTGACCCCCAAAGTACTTCTCTTTCATGCCCTCCCTTCTTGTTTCTCCCATCCCAAGGAGGGGTGAAGAGGAGGGCCTCCAGTGCTGGTTTCTCTCTAGCCAGCCCTTGCCCCACCCCTTCTCTGAGGAGCCCGGCTGTCGGACCCTGGGGGAGCCACTGAGCCCCAAGGTGACGACTAGCCTAGAGAGGGAAAAGTGGCCGCCTCTCCTCCTTTCCTCGCCAGCTCAGATGGGTTCAGAAGGGGGAATTAAAGACCTTTCCACTCCCATCCTCAAAACACAACAGCCCCAGACAAGGCACAGAGCCGAGCAGACGCGGGGACCCAGGCACAGGGACTCCCCAAGGGCACACACATTTCCACTGGAGAAGGTGCACACGCGGGCAGGCAGACATGCAGCGACACACACGAGGTTGTCAGAGCCACACGCTGGCCTGCGCACGAAGCCTGCGCACGAAGCCCCACCATGAAGGTACACGGACACGCACACTCACGGGTTGTGCGTTCACGGAGAGAAGGACAACACACGGGGATGAGCCAGGAGGCACGGGGACTTAAACATACACAGAAGCAGAGAGAAACATACCCAGGAACACACAGACTAGCTTCCCTGGGGCTTGTGTGTGCGGAGTGTGGACGGCTCTCTCTCTCTCTCTCTCTCTCTCTCTCTCTCTCGCTCACTCTCGCTCGCTCTCGCGCTCTCTCTCTCTCTCTTCTCCCACCTCCTCTCACTCTGGCCCTTTGTCCTAGCTCTGTCTCCTATTTTCAGGGAGTATTTCCCTGGTGAGCAGCTGGGGAGGGAGGGAGACTGAATGGCCACAGAAACCCAGTAATTTTATTATGACTTTATTTTCTTTGTTCCCTGAAGCCTTGCCTCCTTCTTTCTCTGAGCTCTACCAGCAAGAGCATCTGTGCTAGCCCTTCCTGCCACAGCCCATGGCACCCAGACAAGGCCGTCGGGTCCAGCCAAGGCACAGGAACCCAAACACGGTCCTCTCTGAGATCCCCATGGATCCCCCACTGCTTCCCAGCCCTGAGGGCAATTCCAGCAGCAAGGAGGGAGGAAGGGGATCTGTGCTCTACTGATACTTGCTGTGACCTTGGGCAAGTTACATACCCTCTCTGAAGCTCAGATCCTGTCTCTTGCCAAATCCTCTTGTGTGTGTGTGTGTGTGTGTGTGTGTGTAGCAGTTTAAATGTGTCTTTCCACTTGAGTCTGGAGCTTTGTTTTTTGTTTTTAAAGATTTTATTTTTTGGACAGAGAGAGACACAGCGAGAGCAGTAACACAAGCAGGGGGAGTGGGAGAGGGAGAAGCAGGCTTCCCGCCGAGCAGGGAGCCCGATGCGGGGCTCGATCCCAGGACCCTGGGATCATGACCTGAGCTGAGGGCAGACGCTTAACGCCTGAGCCACCCGGGTGCCCCTCTCATTGTAGTTTTAAGTTGCATTTCCCTAATGACTGATAATGAGCATCTTCCTGTATGCTTGTTTACCATGTGTAAATCTCCTTGTTGAAGTGTCTATTCAAACCTTTCACCCATTTAAAATATTGGGTTGTGTGTTTTCTTATTGAGTTTTTTTTTTTTTTAAGATTTTTTTTTATTTATTTGGCAGAGAGAGACACAGCAAGAGAGGGAACACAAGCAGGGGGAGTGGGAGAGGGAGAAGCAGGCTTCCCACGGAGCAGGGAGCCCAATGCGGAGCCTGATTCCAGGACCCTGGGACCATGACCTGAGTCGAAGGCAGATGCTTAATGACTGAGCCACCCAGGCGCCCCCAGTCTGGAGCT